ATGTCGTCTCTGATATCGTGAACGTCCTCGAGTGGATGTGGTATCTCATTCCTATCCGTCTTACGGACAAGGGAGATGATGGTTTTTCCAGACAAATGGAGATTATCGTTGTCAGCCATGATCGAAAGTTTTGAAGGTATCTTTTATCTTTGGTTTCGGGGAATAAGATGGAGAAGATGGTTCCCCACAGACGCTGCCACTGATTTGAGTTGTTGATCAGAATCTGAGTTGGGCCAAGAGGATTATGATCTACAGGACTGAGATTACTGGGAAATGAGGGGGGTGTACCTGCAAGGCACTCTGATGTTAAAGTAAGAAAGAGAACAAAGAGGTACAAGAAAGTATTAGAGTTTTAGAGAGTGAATATTTGATCCCTGGCCCTCACAAATGTGAGGGTTTTTATAATACCCATGATGCGTAGCCATTGGTTCCTATCTTTTGGCCTAGATATTAAGTTCCGCGAAAATAGGTAACTTCCAGGACTGGGTCAAAACGAGCAGCCATGTCCATATTTATCTGTTGGCGAGCAAAGGTGAGCCGACAAGTAGATGTGTTCTGAACATGAGCCTAGTTGCCTGCTCGACAGGTGCGAGCCGGAGTGAAGATGATTTGCCGTTGTGGACAGGAGTTCGATTTGAGCACCATTAGTCTTACATCCTCAGGGGAGGTCATTCAGATGTGCCTGACCAGAGGCTTTAGCTATTGGGCCAATTCTTATTGGGCCGTGCTGGGAGTAGTAGTAGATTGGGCCAAATCTGGTCATTGGGCCAGTCCAGAATAGATGTTAAACATGATGTGGAGTTGGGAAGAAGGATGCGAGAGTCGTAGGAGTTGTTCGCATCGAATAATTTTCGAGGAAGAAAATATTCTAAGTGGAGGAGAGTTGTAACACCCAAAAAAAATCTAGATTAATGATTTAATTAATTTAGTGTGAATATTGGTGATTATTGGTGAATATATGAATTATGGCGAGTTATGTGATGCATGGTGATGCATTGGTGAGTACAGTTCTATGAGTAGTGTGAGAATAAGAGTAATATGAGGATTTAATTAGTTTATAATTATTTAGAGGGTAAATAATTATTTGGGGTTAATTGGATTTAATAATAATATTTAGAAGTATTATTTATATTAATATGAGGAGAATAATAGTGTAAGACAAGAAGGGCAAGATGGTAATGTTGTTTTGAACATGTGAGGGCAAGGTTAGGATTTATGAATTTAGGGGTCCAATGGCTAGATAAGTAAAAACAAGAGGAATAAAAGAGTATTTTGTTTGATCGATCGTAGAAATCGAGAGAAAGCAAACGCGAGAAAGAGGAAGAGCTAGGAAGAGAGGAATCATTGTTGAAGCTTGAGGAATCTACAGTCTAAGGTAAGAGTGGGATTCTGACTCTCTAATAGGTGGTATAATTGTGGGTAGATGATGAATATGAATGTTAGGTTTTGGGTGTAAATTTCTTATGAAATTGATTGTCGTATTCGAGTTGAATCGATGAAATTGATGTTTTGATTTGATTAGAAATACATGGTTGTGTATGTGCTAGAAATTGTAATCATTGGTTCATTTTAATGTGTTTCAAAACTGAATTTTTGGTTGTAAAAGATGAAATCCCATAGCAGAAAAAGTTACAGAATTTTTCACTGTCAAGGTGTGCAAATCGATTTCCATTTTGGGGTAATCGATCTCTTGAACGAAAAAAACTTATCTTTGGCTACTGGACTGTTGGAAATCGATTTACCATTTTGGGAAATTGATTTCCTGAGTGAAATTTGGAAAAATGGCCCTATTACGTTGGGGAAATTGATTTACCATTTTGGGAAATTGATTTCCTAAGCGAAATCCTGAAAAATTATAATTTTCAAAAATTCATAACTTTCAAACCGTGAGTCTGTTTTGGATGTCGTTTTGACCGTTGGAAAGATAAAAAAAATTTCTATAATGATATTCATTTTTATGGCAGTAGACTAATATTTGTTGGAATAATTATGATGTGTATGTATGTTGTATGTGTCATAATGTAAAATGTTGCGATTGAATGTATTAGTGTTGTATAAATGATGTATGAAGGAATTGCAAGTTGTATTGCAGTATGACGATGTTGTTGTTAGCCTGAGATGGTATAATGTTGAGGTCTCACTCCCCGTAATTGCATAGTTGTGTTGTTGCATGTTGCGTGCAGGCATCATTGAGGGCTTATGCTTTGTTGTTGGCCTAGATTGGCAAATTGCTGAGGGCTTATGCTCTGTTGTTGGCCTGAATTGGAAAATTGTTGAGGGCTTATGCTCTATCACTGGCCTAGATTGGAAAATTGTTGAGGGCTTATTCCATGTTATTTCCCTATTTGGCATTTTGGAGAGGGCTTATGCTCTGATGGTACCACATGCATTTTGCATCGGTGTCAGTCGTATTACATATTGTTGAATTGTTGATATGATGATGATGTCAAGTTGCGTAATTGGTATGCGTTGTATGATGGATGATGATAATTATATATGTTTGTATAATCATTGTGAACTTGTGGTTGATGATGTTGAGCATGAAATCTTACATGATATATTTGTCACATACTTATTATTATATAACTTATTATATTGTTGTGATATCTCACCCTCTTGTTGGAATGATGCTTTTTACGGCATCACTCAGGTATATAACTTATTATATATATTGGAGCTTTACACCAACATATATGCCACCTTACTATGGTATTTATAAGGAAAACTATACAACCTTGCAACCACTACTAAAACAAAAAGATGTGTGACAAAAAATAGAATTACAAAACAAATGAACAAGGCACGATGCAAATTAAAAAACAACATCCAACATTACAAAACCAGTACAGATGTCAATTATCATAAAACTAATGAACAAGGCACAATGCCAATTAGAAAAAAACATCCAAAATCATCCAATACCAATACAAGACAGTTCAATAGCACCTATAACATCCCAATTATACTACAAAGATCTTATACATGTTAATTCAGATGGTCCAAAAATCCTCACACCAACCCTACAACTTAGCTAAATAAACTACACATGCAAACAATAAATAACTTCACAGATACATTAGGAGGCATCACTTCATCATTTTGGCATTGCTTCATTACTTCATTGAATTTCAAACTGAAAATCCTAAGTCATTGCTTAAGCGTACAAATGGTGATTGTAAAGAACTATCTGGAGGAGCCTCTCCATCTGCTCCAAGAGTAGGACACCATCTTTTGTTGTGACAAGTTGCACTACATACACCACATGTTTGCGTCTGCCTACATCTTCCCGATGTACCAACAATACTTGGTCCATAACCCTTTCTTTTTAAACATGAAGGGTTAAGTATATTTTCCAACTCCTCTGCAACATGTACATTTTCAAGAACATCTTCATTGTCGTATTTTGATTTAATCTTACTAAGTTCAGTATTCAAATATTATAAATATTTTTTGTAATCATCAACATCCATATATGACAAGTCAATAACCTCCTTACTAAGATTTACCAAATTAGCACGTCTAGCAACTAAATGTGAATCCTAGTAGTGTGAACCATCTTAATAACTTCCACTAATAGACTCCTTCACAAATAATGACCAATGATTCAACACAAGAGTCTTAGGAAATTCAACAATATCAATATAAACCAACACAACAACAATGTGCTCACATGTAATCCCAATAGATTCCATTCTAAGACATGAGCATCTGAAACCGTTATTCGATGGACATTGGGATACACGCTATCCATGCCCTTCACATCAATATTTTGTCACTGCATAAATTGTAAAGAACGTCATATCTTGAGTATCTAATAAAGATATTAAGGATTCCTTTTTCAAAATAGATCATACCATCACAACTATCTCTTTTGTCCATTTTTTTGAAGCTGACCTCTTAAACGCCCTAAGACTGGTCTGCAACACTGCTTGCCATATTAGGGTTGAAAATCAACTTGAACCTCTCTAAAGCGAAAATATGCCACACACCTATGGAACTGCTTAAAAAAATCAAGAATATTCATCTTCAAGTGTACAAACTGGCCCATATGGCTATGAAATGCTTCACACCGCAACGTCATTCTTATTCCTGCAAAGAAATTTCCACGAATATGAAATGTTGCCCACATCTTCCTTTTTTGGTACAATTCATTGATCCAATTGTTCTCTTCTAAACCAAACACGTCTACCATTTCATTCCACAGATTGTCAAATTTCCAAACATCATGATCACCAAGCATGCATTTTTTGAAAATTGGGATGAAATTGGGATTGCCAATGTTGGACATTGTATTTCGTAGGAGATGCCATGCACACAACCTATGGTAACTGTTGTGAAAGACTTTTCTGATTGCATTTCTCATAGCAACATCACCGTCCATTATTACATATATTGGTGTCTTACCTTTCATTGCAACCAAAAATTTCTCCAACAACCATACATATGTCCATTAGACCTCATTTGAAACTATGGCAGTAGAAAATATAATCGTTTGGTTATGGTGATTAACACCAGAAAGATACCTAACAACACCTTTAGCATCAGAAGATATCTCTTTCCTTTGTCTTGAAATTTGATTATGTACGTCCTTATTCAAAAATTCTACCTTATCATACCCCCTGATAACATTTTCAAATGAACCAATCATTTGAGTTACTTTGACTTCGACATTCCCAAAATTCTTAACTTGTATCTTATTTGACTTACTAAGCTTCCTATTACCTGCCAACAACCTGTAATTATTTTCGTTTAACAATTCATGATTGTACTCAAAGGTAAAAACTGTGACATACCAACGATGTGAAATCATATCAATATGAACCCTAAATTTAGCTCCACATCTATATCGAGTTTCGTGCTTCAGACCACGCTTACAATGATCTACTCTGTCTTGCCTAAATCCTTCAAGGTTACAAACAAATTTTTGTTGAACAACGTCTCCATTCTTTTTTTTTAATAACTTGACTTTTACGAACTGCGAAATCGTTCATCTTTGTAAACTAATAGTAAAATTTGTAAGCAATTTCTAGACTTTCAAATTGCAGCTTCGAAACATAATCATTTTGCAAGTTAAACATGTGGATCTTTGTAATGTCTTCAACAACAAGTGATTCGTCTGGAATTTGATCTGAAAATATTGATTCATTCAAAATATCCGAACTCCATCTCAAACCTTCCCCATCACTTCCACATGTATTCCAATATTTGTGTCCACCAATATCACCAAAACCACTCTCGTCATGGTATTCACCTTCATCAAACTCACAATCTTCATCCGCATCTTCATCATCGTATTCACCTCCGTCAAATTCACCATCTTCATCCGTATCTTCATCAACGTATTCAACTTCTTCAAACTCAGAATCTTCATCAACAACTGTGTTGTTATATTCAACAATATCCAAGCATCCACCACTAACAAAATCCAATTCACCATCAACATTAACACAACCATTCTCATGTAAAATCTCATCGAGTGCTTCCTAAAAAATATAAATAACTAAATCAATAAATTAGCAACCAAATGGGTTATAACCACAAGATAAGGTTGTTCGAAAATTTGATTTACAGAGTTAGCTTGCATTACTTCATGCCCAATAGCGTCACCATCATCTATCTTCGATTCAATATTCGTGAGTTACATTTTTTTATTCATAAAAACTTGCATCTGACCCAAATCGTTAATGGAAGAGGATAGAAAATGGAAGAAATAAGGACCGAAAATGGAAGAAATGAAGAAGAAATCAGAAGGGAAGACAAAAGAAAATGAAAATGAAAAATGGTTTCAGAAAATTGCAGACGGTGAGATGGAGACATCAGGTGAGATAAACATGTTAAGGGATAGTGGTAATATTGTGTGTGATAATGCAGTGAGTGATACTATAGACGCTCAATCCAATGACTCATATTCATTTACAAAGAAATTTTTTTATCACATCAGAGACCTATGTGCATCGCGCACAAGAGACGGCGTCCTCTGACATTGAAAACCCTAACAAAAAGAAACTGACGGTAACAAAGCAGGAAACAGTTTTTGAAAAATACATAATTTTTTTGTTGATACCACCAAAAGTTTTATTTATTTTTTTGTAAAAGTTGAGAAATACTTGTATAGATACGTACATAAATCCACATTCTTAGGAGCAAACAATAAGAAAAGAGGAAATTTAAAATTTATTTAAAATTTAATTTATTTTCTAATTGGAATTACGGGTGACAAAACGGGTCCGGCGCGTTGAGCCGCCCGTTTTGCCTGCACTTTAGTATCAGACGGGTCAATAATTTAGGCCTTCACTCTCTAATGTGACCGACCTACTATGTCAGTTATCTTCGCGGGTTTTTGCAGGCACGAGTATTAACATAAAATGTTATATTTTTAGACTTAAAAAATGTAGTGCTCGCTGGCTTTTTCCGCACTCACTTTTTTGCGGAACAATCATATGTTTTAGGCCTTCATTCCCGTTCCGCCCTATTTTTTGCGGATTTTTGCAGGACAAGTCTAAACGAGAAAGGCCTAAACGGGGCGGGCAAGCCCGCTTGCCACTCCTAATTAAAATAATAAGGTGATTGTAATAAGGAAGAATAGAAAAAATTTATTTTATTTTTTAAATTAATAAAAAATTATGATTAATTATTTATAAATCACTTATTATGTTTTTATTAATGTAATTTTTTTGTTGTTATTGTTACCACCAAAAATAAACTGACGAAAAAAAAGGGGAAGCGGATTCCTTGACTTTCTAGCGGGGTGACTTTGAGATAATATCATTCATTTGATCAATCTATTGTTATATATTCTACCATGTGTTATGCTTTTTTGATTAATTTTAAAAATAAAACTTGAAGCACCTACATCATGTTGTTGCCGTCAACCTGCTGCTACCATTGATACTCTATTAATTTCGATAACAGTAGAAAGTTGAGTATGAGTTGTTTAAGAAAAATAGTTCGAGTCTTTAATGAAATCAAAGTCTCTGTAAAAGATTGAAACAGTGCAGTACTTTTTTGAGCATAACGTGGCATGATTTCAAAGGCATGATTGATCAGACGGACAGGGTTGGCTCAAAGTCACCTGACTTTGAGCAAAACAGGAAACACACTTACCCCTCGGAAACGCCTAGTCACGAATCTGATGTGTCGTAACATGATTGGTCACTACTAACGGAACCACCCAATAACAATTCTCCATGGAAAAGAAAACCAGACAACAAATTTTCATTCAGCGTTAAAACTAACAAAATCTCAAATCCAAAAAGTTTCAAATTTCGCATTCGAAATAATTAAATCCCTAAAATCTGAATTGTGCAAAAGTTTCAAACCACAATGGCAGAAAATCCTCCCGAAACGGTGTCGTTTACTTCACAACCTTCTCCTTCTCACCCTTCTTCTTCCTCTTCGCTGAAATCGCCACAAGATCCATCTCAGGTAGGTTTCACAATTGACTTCAATTCCAATTCCGTTTCGCAGCTTGGGTGATTAATTGTTCAATACCAAAATTTGATCCCGTTTTGATATCTTTGAACTAAAGCTAGGGTTTGTTATTTTTATGATTATCGAGTTTTTTTTGCTTGCTTTTTGAATATGTGAATGAAACGTGCCACGAATTGTGATTTTTTTTCCGTTTATTGTAGCTTCAGGCCCCGGAGCTTTCCAATTTTCCGCAATTTCCGGGTGGATACTATCAAATGTTTCCTGGTATGCATCCTGCATTGATTCCAGGGTTGACTCAGCCACAAATTGAGGAACATGGGAACCGTGGAGCTGGCATATATGCTGTTCCTGTTAATCCTTTTGATAGACATGTTACTGGACTTCCATACACCACTCTGATTCCGTTGACATATCGTACACCCACGTAAGTTGCTAGTTGTTTTGTTAAAATGATAGTATTCAGTAGTTATATGTGAAGCTTAATGATATCACAATTTAGAGGTATTTTTATTCTGTTTGATATTTAAGCATATTTTGCAACAATATTGGAAAATAAATTAATATACTTACACCTTTCTATAAGCTGTTATTTTGTGCATTTCTATTGCACCGTTAAAGACTATGTTTGGATTGATGGAATAAAATGAAATAGAGCGGAATGGAATTGAATAAATTATGTTCCATCATTTGGATGGATAAAACAGGATGGAATGGATTGGAGCATGATGAAATACATTCCATCTCATTCCATCACTTACCCTCATTTCTGCACCGCTTCCATCCTGAAATATCCTAACAGTGGAATGAAATATCTATTCCACTCTGTTCCATTCGTTTTAAAATATCCAAACATAGCCTAAAGAAAATTTCTACTTAAGTTGATATTTTAAGTGTGTTATGTAACATGGATATATTGGAAAATAGATTAGCACATTTAAAATTTTAACTTTCTAGTTTTTGTTTCCCTTTGGGTGAACTGTCCAGGGTCTGTTTGGTTTGAGAAATTGTTTTAAATTTTTATTTCATGTTTTCCCTTATAGTTACAAAACTGCCACATTGCTTTTATTCTATTTCCGTATGTTAAGAGTCCCACATCGGACAACATATGGCCTGAACAAATGCTTATAAGCGGGGGCAATCCTCACCGTACAAGCCGGTTTTGTAGGGTTGAGTTAGGCCCAACTCACACATTCTAAGTTAGGCTTAACCACATTTCTTAACATGGTATCAAGAGCCTCGTTTAAAGATTCGGTGGGCCACTTGCTATCAGGTTTCCGCTATCAGGTCACCCCCAATTTATTTCCATGCTCCAGGTGTTCAGTCTTGGGCGTGAGGGGATGTGTAAAAGTGGTTCTATTTCCTCAAAATTAGGTTTAATGGCTATCATTTGTCAAACATAGATGGTTTTATGGTGGCATCAAAATGGGAATTCATCTCTTCTTCTTTTTACTTGATTCGACTAGAAAATTGGCATTATCAGCATGTTGTCCACTATAGTTCCTCCGTTTAGTTTAGTTTATAATTAAGTATAAATTATAATACTTTCAAGTTAAATTGCATAAAACAAGACACAACTTTCTCATGTAAGCACTTCTAATGGGGGTATAAACCTAAGAGTGTGTAGATAGGGTCTGTTTTAAGTTTTCCTCAACAGAGTTTCTAATTAATGAATTAATTAATAGGTCATGTTTGTACATGGTTTCAGTATCTAAATATTCAAGGAAAATTGGAACTGATTCTGATTTTCTGGCAGCACTCACAACTCTTGTTCTTGGGGGTTAACCCCGGGCGTTCTTATATGATCTTTTGTCAATTATGGATGTACCCAGCTTTTGAAATTTTTGGTTACATCTTTGATATTATGTTTTTCCTTTCCATGCGAGTCATTCAGAGCTTCACTGTGTGTATAATATAATTCATATCCAAACCCGATCTGATCTCAAGGAAATAAACAAAATGGAGATTTTAAACAAAGCAATATGTTGGTGAACATTTGATATTAGCATATTTAATTTTTCAGGACAATATGTTCATTAATATTAATACTTTCTCTAATTCAATGGTCGGTGATATTAGGCCTAGTACGGAAGGTGCTGCAGGTGACAATCAGGGGCAAGCAGCACAGCATCCTCAGCAGCAACAGGCTGCACCTCAGAGACAAGTTGTTGTTAGGCGATTTCAAATTGCATTTCAAATTGATTTGCTACTGATGTTGAAACTGGCAGCTGTGATCTTTTTGTTCAACCAAGATGGATCAAGGCAGAGGCTTTTTGTTCTTGTTTTATTTGCTGTTCTTGTATATTTGTAAGTACTTATCTATTTTTTCTTAAAAAGGTATTTATGCAATGTGTGATTGTTACGTTTTAGAACTCTAACTCGGGAAATGATTCTGATATAGATTCCTTCCCCTCAATTTATATTATCTATCCGATTTCTTATATACTATGTCAATATCAGTGCCATGAATATCATTGAACTAGATATTGATTAGACTGTGAATGTAAGCTCTGGTATTAATCAATTGAGATGTGTTACAGATACCAAACTGGAGCTCTGACACCAATTATAAGATGGCTTTCACAAAATATGCAAAGAGCTGCAGCACCGCCTCGTCCACCAAGACCTGCAGCCAGGGCTGAAAATGTACCTCCTGCAAGGTTGGAGGGTGACAATGCTGCTCCAGCAGGTATGAGTTGCTTACTATTTTATTCAAATGATTTTTGCGTTTGCTTCTTTTAGGATGGATTTTCTTTTTCCAATACACTTGCACTGGTTTCTCTATGAAGGTAAAATTTAAGGTTCAATCACTTATTGACATGATTTACTGTTGCCTGTTATTAACTGTTGGTAGAGGGTCAACCTGAAGCTGCTGTTGGGAACCAACCCGCTAACGAAGCTGACCGTGCAATTGAGAATGAGAACGGTGCAGAAGCTGACAGAGGCAATGGTGGCAACCAGTGGTGGGGAATTGTAAAGGAGATCAAGATGATTGTTTTTGGATTTATCACTTCCCTGCTCCCTGGGTTCCACAATCATATGGACTGACTCATGGACTATGGCGGCCTGCCAGAAAATAGGAGGGCTTTCTGAAATAAGGTGTATAGCAAACAGAAGTTTTAAGTGTCATAACTAATACATAGGTGCAACTATAATCCAACAAACAAAAGTATGGTGATAGTTTATTGCCAATTTTGTATCATTACTTGGATTGTTGATAGAACAGTTTTTGTGGCTTCCAGGGCACAGGAAGTGCTTTGTACTTCAGATGTGCAGTAGTTAATCCACCACTGGTGTCTGTTTCAAACTTTACAATCTTTCAAGTCAACCCATTTTCAATTTATCTCCAAATTTTTTTATCTAATTGTTTGAGATCCTAAAAGTGTCATAATTCAATTCATAAACAAATTCTGCAAAACATGAGCCATAGTGTCTATTGCAGTTAGAGTGGGGTAAACTGGTTTTGACTTCTCAATTAACCCTCTAACTTCCATCTTGAGATTTTTTCTTCTGAATCTTTGGATGGGACGGAGGTGGGTTGAAATGGTGAGACTTTGTGTATGTTTGATTCTAATTTTTGCTACCCAAAATTGATTCTAGATCTGTAATATTGTTTTTAACATGTTTGGTTTGTCTTTAGAAGAATTGATTTTGTTTTATGAATTGATTGTAAGTTGAAAATAAGTTGGACCAGAAACTTGGAGCTCATATTAGTTTGCTTAGGCATTAGAAAAACCAAACCTGGTTGTCCGGACCAGAAACTGGAGCTCATATAGGTTTGGTTAGGCATTTGAAAAACCAAACCTGGTTTTAGTCAATCGTCCGGTTCCATGTATTGATTTGAAAAAAAAATTTACCCCTTAAATAGCCATTGTTCCATCTATTTAATTTTATGCCAAAAACAAATACTCAATATAACCTGCTGTAATCACACATAAGCACTTAGAGTAACCTTTTACCCAGCATCTCATTCTCATCTATCTTTTCCATCTTTACTTCCTCTTTTTTATGAATCTCAATACTGCCTCAGCCTCTGTTTAAAAATGAATTTCGTTTTAAAGAAAAAAATATGTTTCAAAATGAATGATATTCCCACTTTTCAATGTAGTAATAATAGTTATTTTTCAAATTGTGTCTTATACTTATTATTCTACACACTACTTCTAATAAATTAATAAGGTTAATTTAATAAAAATACAATATCTCAAGCTAATATGATTGTATTCTTTAATCTGAATGCAAAAGTCTTAAACGACACTCATTTTAAAATAGATGGAGTATAATTAATTTGAACACCAACGTGTATGTTTCTGGATAAAACTTTAATGAAGATAAAGTTAATTTTGTTTAAATACGATAAAAAAGTGTAAATTTTATTAATTCTATTTAAATTTAGAAACTATAAATTTTAGCTTTAATTAAAATGAAGAAACTATAAAATTTAGCTTTAATGAAGAAAAATGAAGAACTCTACTAAACACAACACGATTACCATTGAACGCGACACAATCCTTGAAGAAAAACAACAAAGGTTCTTAATTTTAGACTTACAGACTATTTTGCATAGCTTTTCATAGTTGATGCTTCATCCTTTATTGTATCATTCATGTACTACTTTCTTAAACTCTATTTTATTATTTATTGTTTTTTTTACTCTATGAGTAGTTAAACTTGTACTTGTAGAGATGCATTCTCGTTCTTAGCGCATAATCTTGTATCTTGTATGCAATTGCTATGTTAATAGATTGTTCTTATTGATTTAATATATAATTTTAATGATGTTTATTGATTGGTCACCGATAAATAATTTTGTGGTTTATCTTGTGACACTAGCTGTGGAATAGGTAAAAATTTTGAATTATATATTCTAGTCGACTGCTACATAGGATTAGGGATGAGACTATGAAACTCTTATATTTCCGATATTTTCTTATTAACCTTAGATTGTAGCTTACTAAAAAATTGAATAGTTCGTTTAAATAATAAAGGTTTAATCCCTAAGAATTTAAGATTACTTAATAATCTAGAGAATGAACAATCACAATGAATAATAACGTTAACTAACTAAGTTATATAAGGTGTGTAAGGAAAAACTACGCCAGTCTTATCCGTGATAGTATTTTAATGATTAACTTTGTCAATTTTTTATTTTCTTCATTCAAACATTTAAATAAACCAACTAAATACATGTTTGGATGCACGTTTGTAGCTCTGAACACACGTTTGAGGAGTTATCCACCATGAAAAAAGACAAGCCACAGTTTGTAGCTTCTGGTGCTAGACGCACGTTTGGTACTAGACGCATGTTTCTGCCGAATATTTAGAGGTGTCAGACGGGCATGTCTGTCCCGTTTAAACTTGTTATGCAAAAGTCCGAAAAAAAATGGAGTGGATCGGGACGGATATTGTTAAAGATGTGAGCCTAAAATATATCTCTGTCCTATAAAAAAATGAAGGCGGGGCGAGGCGGAAAAAGCCCGCAGATATAACCATTTTTTAAACCTAAAAACACATTTATATAAATGTACGTACCCGCAAAAGTTCGTATATAAAACGGAACAGAATTAGACAGATACATTAGAGGGTGAGGACCTAAACCCTTGACTCAATCTATATTAAAGTGCAGACAAAACGCCATTTTACCATCTATACGAATATCCAAACACAATATAAAACTTTTTGTTAAATATGTAAAATTAGACTCCACTAATTTAGGCCTCTATGTTTGATATTGTGACAATCACCGCAATATTGTTTGCAGTGACATAGTACATTTGACGGATCGATTAAAAGGCTTGATAAATTCTATTTTAACTTAATTGAATATATTAAAGTCATGTCAAAATCGATTTTACATATTTAGAATTGTTTTTGTCTATTTCAAAATAATAACTAAACATAGTATGGTTATGTGACGATGATAATTGATTTTTAGTTGAATTAATTTTATTAAAATTAATTTTGATTAAAAGTGAGTTGAATTAAATTGGTTTATGTTAATGTTAAAGTGATTCTTAATAACTCATGATGTTCAGTAAAATTAGTCTCACCATAATATTACTTGCAATAACCTACTTTTTTTTTTATATTGTCCATCATGTTTTTGGAGTCGTTGATGATAGTTGTTATTTTTTCTTGAATTTAATTATTTGCTAGTTGAAATTTTTTTCTCTACAATAAAAAGATTTACTTTTATTTTTAGTTTTATTTTATCATTTATATTAAAAATTGTAAGTGTGTGAGGCAAGACATCGGCTGATTTTCTTTTTAATGTGGAAATTGAAAAAACTTTTCGTGCAATTCGAAAGAAACAAAGAGAATAGGAAGCAATAGAAAAGAGCTAGACATTCAAAGATAAATCAAGTTAGAAAAAGAGATGGAGAAAGCACCAATTGATCCACCACGACCCGAAAGATTACTTAGAAATTATGTCAAATGTACACTTGAAGGTAACATATTGACCATTATCAACCAACCCCTAACATATACCAAGTTCAAATTCAACCCTGCCCCACTTCGCTATTTGGAACAAAAGAAATTTCATGAAAGGTTAAATGAAGGTGACAACAAGCATTTAATGTGTTTTCTCACCATCTGCACATATGTCAAGGCAAATGACATATTGAATAATGTAAGCGATTAAAATATTTCCTTTTTTACTTTTATCAAAAAAATTGTTCCGGACTGTCTCAATGGTTAGGTATGACCCAATCTACTTCTACGTCCAAGATGATTCAATAACTTTGGTCTAATCAGTAAGGAAGGAATAAGACATCTTCACCTTCTGCCCTTCAGGCGCGCACACGTGATTGCAAGACCCTAGTGCCGACAGGACCACTACTGCTCTTGGTTGTATATCTGCTCGTGTCAACAGGCTAGTTTCACTTTGTTCGTCACACACATACATTCATCCAGGAACAACCGAATCACGCTTGTCCGTAATCGCATCCCTGCTTGGGGCAATGACTAGTTTCGGGAACCTCTGTCCGTTATAACAGCTAGTTCCTGGAAGTTATCTATTTTGGAAAACCAAATATCCATGCCCAAAAATAAGAACCAATGGTCAAGCGCCAGGGGCATTATATAAACTGTCACACTTGTGAGGGCCAAGTATCCAATATTCTACTAAAAAACCTATAATTTCTCTTGTATCTCACCGTACTCTTGCTTACTTGAGCATCAAAGTGTCTTACAGGTACATCCTCTTCTCCTTGATTCCAGCATTGCAGACGCAGATATCGGTACATTATAGGTTCTAATCACCGGTAAGATCAGTGGCACCGTCTATAGGAAACTGTTTTCCCATCTTTCTTTCTCCGGAAACTAAAGATCAACATGACATTTCAAGATTCAAATCATGGACGATCAAGATGACAACTATCTCGCTGGAAAAACTGTTATCTCCCCTGTTCGCAGACAGACAATGACGAAGAAGCCCATATCCACGAAGATATTCCCATGAAAGACGGTTGCACCATGTATCCCTCCTCCCAAGAGGTTGAGGATAACAACATCCACTTCTTGGAAGCCAACAAGTCCAAGAAGATCCAAGAAGAAGCACTAGCCATCTTCCAACCTGTTCAGGTACCGACCGATGCTGACCCAGCCATGGCAGCGTTGCTCGCAGGTTTAAATCAGACCAACACTATGATCCTACAACAAAACAATAGGATCAGAGCATTATAGAAAAATCGCCGCTCAAGGTCTCCCCCGAGGAGATACCGACAATATGGGTCTCGCAGCCCATCACCAATACGACTAAGTCGTCGTTTTATACTAGAAAAACCAGAAACCTCGCTAATCAAGAAGCGCGAGCATACTCCTCCTCACAGAGATTGGAGTACCCCAGTCACCAAGAGGACAAAGGGAAATCAACAGGCAGATAATTACCGTTCACCCTCTCCCAAGCTGAAACATCACCTGAGGAGCCTGTCTCCCCGTCGAGACAATAGTCCTCGGCGAGGGAGGAACCATTACTCTCCCCCACCATCACCAGACTAAAGTGAATACGATGATCCCCATGGTCCATTATCAAGAGAAATCCTGGA